GTTGTCTATCTATCTATCTATCTATCTATCTATCTATTTATCTGCAAGCGTGAAAACGAAGCTATTGATTAGGATAGTTTCGACCTCAAAATGATTGGCCAATGTCTGGTACAGTGGTACAGCACACTCTTCTGCCTCTGGTGCGGCGTAAAGTAAGGTTCCGGTGATGCTGTGCGCCTGGAAAACAGTGTTTCCTTCCATGCGTTCCTATGCTTTCAACTGCTGACAAAATAACGCTTCTGAGCGTTGCACCTACTAAATCCCTGTGGCCACACAATAAATCCCGCGTTAACATATTTAACAAAGACTCGGGAAATATTGTTTGTTTGCATCTGTTCCTATGTGTTCAATTACGTAGTGAACGTAAGCATTGCATTTACTAAATCTACTAAATCCCCATGGCCACGGCATATTCAATTTGACTGTGGCAGAGGAAAATAGGTTAAGAACCGATGATAGAATCACCTACTCGAGTTTGCCGCAAATATAATATCATGCTGCGGACCCCCATCGAAGAGAAAGGAAAGGATCAAACGTTAATGAAAGACATCTTCATTTTCCCACGGCTACATGTTTGCAATACATTGCAATACCAATTGATGCATTGATACCATCTCCTGCCATTCCTTGCGCCCCTAGGTCCTACCTACCTGCCTACATCTGCCTACCAAACTTCCCCACTGATTCATTCAGTAAATGAACCACCTTCCTCACACACCGGGGCTTGAATCCGGGACCCGAACCCGGGACCGGAACCCGAATCCGGGACCCGAATGCGGGGCCCGAATCCGGAACCGAAATCAAAATTATAAAAGAATATCAAAGAATATAAAAATTGAACTTGAAGTTATCTCGAGATTCAGTCTAGTAGTCACTGTTCCTAATACATTTCCAATCCCCTATACAAAGACTACTGAATTATGGTTTCTGCATGGTGTTTCTTTGTAAAAAAACACTCGTGGATTTACTCTCCATTCGCCATTTTAGTGAGGAAGTTGCTTTCCAAACCATGGAATAACCATGGGATGTTCTGGTTTTCCCGTGGTTTCCCCAGATTTTCACAAAACTCACAGAGGTTTCCAACCACTGCAATGCACCAGCCGCGGGGCTGCCCTTCTGGTGCGGCTGCGGCCTGACTATGCTCCAGAATCTCAGGCCCCTCCTCCTGCGGCTTGGCCGTGATAAGAATCTACCGCGGAAATGTACACAGCTTGAAACCTGGAAAGCAGCACAAACCATGCGTGTTTTGGATTTCCCCTGCCCCAAATGGCCCTGAGAAACTTCAAAAAGGGGCTCCAAACTGGATGCCCAAAGATTCGCCCAAATTTCTGCGCTTGTCCCTGACACAGTCCAACCAGTGCGGGTGGGAGGCTTGACACCAGGAGGGCGCCGAATGACATATTTGTACTCCAGTCTCTTTGAACTCGAGGATGCCTGCGACTTGGCGGAGTGTGAGCTGCGGCATTCCGCTGGCAAAAGCTGAATTGATGTGTACATGATACGACACAAAAAGGAACAACAGCTTTGAGACGGTCTATGCATACTTTGTCTTTCAATATATTTCCGATTCCTTCAGTATGTTTTTATAACCCCATGACATGAGAAAATCCCAACATATCCCAACCATCAGCCTCCTCTGGAGGGCCCACATCGGAGATGTCAATTCTCTTCCACAGGGGCTAATTCAACGGCTTCGGCACTACTGCCTGACGCGCCAGGGATGAAATGACTTGGGGAAAATGCCCCAATGTTTGGCCACTCAACCCATAGGGAAACTGATGCTCAACCCATCAAAGTTGGGGACGTTCCCTTCAATTTTCAGACAGCCCCAGTTGTTCCAACGAAATTTGCCAAAAGGCTTCCAACTGATGGAGATGTTTGGATAATTTTGGAGTGGAGCTTTCGGCAAGACCCAGGGAATTTGTGTGTTTTTTGATGAAACAACGGACATGGATGAACTGAAGCACCACGACAGCTGGCAGAGCCATAGATGAGTCATTCAATCCCAGAGGCTACCAAGGGGCCAACTAGCCATGAAAAAGTGAGCTCAAGTGGACGCCGGTGAATGCCAAAGGTGATGCAAAATCCGTCATTGGTTAACCCCTTCTGGATGGATCAAAACCAAAACATATATGGGAGGTTTCCTAAGTCATGGGTACCCCCATAGCTGGATGGTTTATGTCATGGGAAATCCATCTATAAATGGGATGATTTGGGGGTACTGTATTTTAGGAAACCTCCATATGGAAATGGGCTGGGTTTGACAATAGAGATTTAATGACTCACTAAATCCCTAGAATCCCATATCAAATCCCCTTAACAATCCATATAAAGCCTTTATAAATATCATAAATATCATATCAAATCCAGACATTTCGCAGATGTGTCATGCAACTTAAATACCCCCTATGTTGCCACTGCTCTTGGGTCATTGATGCATTTCATTTTGTGTATCAGCAAGATGGTGATAAGGAGTTTATCCATTTTTCCATCCATCTTTTCATCCACTTCATCCAATGGCATCCAATCCTGCGCATGTGCAGGGGATGATCTCGCCTCAGGAAGGCCGTGGCGGTGCGAGGTGGAGCTGCAACAGGGCAGGGGGAGGCTTCAGCTACAGCACTGACGCGGCCGGCTCATGATCCAAAATGGCTTTGGGCAGCCCGCTAAATCTGATTGAAATCTCTGATCAATGGAAAAAAATGAAACACAATAAATGAAATTTCAAGGGATACCCCCCCTCTGAAATTTCATTTATAAAAGGGTGGTGATAATTCCGACATTAACTTGCTGGGACCTCATATCATGATATTCAATGGTGTTCTGAACCGAAGAGTACGGACCATTTGCTGGATTCCTCGTAGCCACACTGTGATGGCTGCGAAGCCGGACTAGATGCACGAGATCTGGGAACAACTGGGTGGTTTTGGCAAGCTCTTGGTAACCTGAGAAATGCTGCGTCTTCCTAATCTCTCACCACGGGCCGTTTTCACTCGACGGGAACCTCGAGGAGTATTGGATGACGATCTGCTTCCTGAACGTTGTGACATTACATCACCAACCATAGCTTCAACCGACTCCGTACTCAAGTTCAAACTCGATGGGTCACTACTGGAATTCATTTGGCTAGGAGTTGACATCCAAAACACAATCCAACGGTTCAAAAAGCGAAACTACTCACAGTGGCGCCGGAAATGCAGCCAATCAGTGAAAGTTTCAAAAGTTGAATTGGAATTGGACTGGGCAAATCAATTGGACTGATGTTGCAGCCTTCGCTGCTCTCAACCACTGCGGTGCCAAGCAATCTTGCAGGGATATAAAATTCAAATTCAATGCAAAAACGCCGCAGTGAAACCCAGCAATGATACGGACGAAGCTGTGAAACCTGAGGCTGACTTGAAATCGTTGAGAGATTGCGGTGAAACTATGCAGTGGGACGCGCACAGCAATAGTTCACCTGACTTTGAAAGATTGCCGTGAAACTCAGCAGTGAAAATCGACAGTAATGGAACCCGATATGGAGGCGATGATGGAGACCAAAGGCAGGGTCTTGGACTGATGTCACATTGAGTTCAAACTCAAGCTCAAGAGAAAACAGAGCTGAGTGCAAACCCGAAAGAAGTCCAAATAGAAACGGGTGACTGAAATTGATACCAAATCATTCGAAACACTCGGACAAAATCCAGGGTCGGGCGATTGACTTTTGATGCCAATCTCCGATGAAATCTTGAGACACGTGAATGACTACTGAAGCCTCACCGGGGCGCCAAAACCCGAACTGGATTGGCTGAAACTGGGCAGACCCGAACTTCTATGAAACATTATGAAACTGACTTAGTCAACCTATTTCACAAACGTAACTCAACCAAAGCAGCCTGGCAAATTTCGAAATCTCGAACTCCTGGATCGCGACTCCAAAAGGCAGTGATGGATCAAAACCGCAGAGACGGCGCTGGCGATGACATGGAGGCGACCCTTTAACCCGGTTTGCATGGCTTGTGAAAAGAAGAATTTTGGGTTCAACAAGAGCAACCTACGGCTGATAACCAACTGAGTTGATGTTTAACCACCCAAAAACAAGGAAAAACGGCAAAACAAGGCTTAAACAAGCGCAACCTGACCGAAGGGCAGCGGCTGCAGCCTGTTTTGACATCTTGAGCCAAAGTCAATTGGCAATCGATTGAACCTGAAAGGAAAGGATGTCTATATAAACATGAAAGTAGGGTTAGGTTAATCCCTAAACTTTCAAGTATAATGATGTGCTTTCAGTGATGTGGCTTCAGTATGTTTCGGTGATGTGGTTGTAGTGGCGTGGTTCCAGTGATAGTTGTTTGTCCGTAACACGGAAGTATAGACTTCTAAACTTCCTTTGATTATGATACACTGTAGGTATACTGCAAGCGCTGAAGGGTAATCATATACATTGTAATTATAATATATTAAAATATCATTAAACGCTTCGAGCAGCTGCTTCGCTCGTCTTTTTGGACAAGTGTAACCCTTTCTCTCAGAGTCTGGCTCTAAAACTTTCCCAGATCACAATCTGCTCCACCTCTGCGAAGCCAAGCTTTCGAAGCTACAGTAGCATTGCTCTGAGCAAAACCTTTTGGAAATACAATCAGATACATCACGCACATATCTTTCGATTTGGCCCTAATTTCTAAACACGCAGAAAGCAACACCATGGTCCATGGGTTGCATTCTGTTATATTCTGTTGCAGCTGACTCCAGCAAGGGTGGTAGCACCTGTGGAGCTTCAAGAGTACGTTGCAGCCCTAGCACAGGCCGAAACAGGCTGCACCTTTGGGCAGCAACTCCAAACGGCCGACTCCGTCGCGCCAGAAGCACTGTGCAGTTCTTGTGGAGGGTCTCTGTCCGATGGTCCATGTAATGTCCATCTCTTTTCCCAACATTCTCCACAATCTATCCCAATACCATCCAATACTGTACCAAATTCCTGCCCAGTTTCTTATTTTTCTGTATTTTTCTTAGTTCAAAAACATGGCGTGGGCTGGAGGCACCTGAGATCGGCAATGTGAAACTGATTGTGCCTTTGCACAATGTGCTGGGATGGACCCAAAGCATCTACTGAAACCAGAGACGGCAAAGGGTTTTCCTTCGCCTCTAGCTAGGTGAGCATAGTTGAGCTAGTGAGAAAGCGCCCTCAAGGTGAAGGAGGTGAGGGATCCATATCCGTCTGCGGGCCTTCGTCATCTCAAGACAGAATCCCCATGAATCCCTTCAAGTCAAGAACTGTCTCGTCTTTAGCGAGTCAAAAGGTCTAGGGATTGCTCGAGGCTTGCTATTCTTTGTAGATTCTAGATTGTTGCAAATTTCAATTAACCGATGACTGATTATACTACGGAGGTGAGATGGTTTCTCTCTCTCTCTCGCTCTCTCTCTCTCTCTCTGTAACACAGTTTGAGTCATCCATTCTGTTCAGTGTGTCTGGGGCTGCCGTACTTGACTGCAAGCATGCCCGGGCGCTCTGAGGTCTCCTGACGCACAACAGGGGCCTCCTGTCTCGTGCCTCCCTGGTATCGTTGAACCGGGTGCTTCAGGCATCTTCAGGCATCGCTCTCCTCAATGAGTCTATAAGTCTATATACGTCTTGCCCCTCTTTTACGTTGCTTTGGCAACAGCATCATGAAATCCCAATACACTATATACATGTATAAATAAACAAATATACAAAACACACACATATTATAATATATATATATATAATATTATTTATATTATTGATATATGAATTTCTCTATTTATTACGTTGGTAGGAAGGCCTCAATAGGGAAGGCCTCAATTCTGCGAATGACTTCGACACGACTCAGGGCTGAAGCTCATGAAAGAAGCTTGATGCTTCCGGATGTAATCGCTGGAATTCCAGCAATCCTTCTAGGCGCAGCCGAGCTCTGTGGAGCCTTGCCAGGCTTAAAGATGGAGACGCCGCGAATGCCAACAACTGGGCCTGCCAGCACCCCGCCCCTCATCGAGACTCATCGAGTGCTTGAAATTTATTTTCTCTTCAACATCTGTCAGTGCCTTCCCTACGCTCGATGCCAATGAGTGCCAATGGCAGCACGACCGAGCGAACTGGACTATTTCAGTTTCTTTCGGCCTTGCTTGAAGTCCGTCCGCACCCTAGGCACGGTAAATACCATCTGATGCTTCTGATTCTCCGCCGACTTTGGCTTTTCCTCTGAACCTTGGTGAGCAAAAGGCTCCACGCAGCGCTCCTATCAGCTCCCGGAAAGCAAATGACATAATAAATTAACAGCAAACATCAGCAAACAATCACCATTCTTACCAGAAGGGGGTATGGACGACCATCTACTGGAATGCTTTGTGCAGAATCTAGGCATGCATTCGGACAGCTATGAGCCAGCACCACTGAACCTTGCATATCTCTGACCTTCCTGACTGAGAATGCACAGTACCCGGGTTGCGCCAAAAAAAACAAGCATTGAAGCATTGCTTGCACCATCTTGAAAGCATTGCGTATCGGACTGGAAGCCCCAAATGCGCAGAAGCATTGGAGGTCATGAAAGCTTCAGGGTTCCTCTATCGCTTGTAGGCAACTTTGGGTAGGTCACGTCCAAGCTCGATGCCCTACATTGGCCCTACATGGGCCCTAGGCCTGAGCCCTGCCCATGGAGTCATGGCGTGCCCCTTTGTTTTTGCCGCCTGGCTGCGTTTTTGCTCCAACCGAGCTGTCGCGGATTGCGGTCGGCGTCTCTTGGGTGCAGCTGCCTCAGCTGAACCGAAGAATGCGAAGAGAAGTACAGACTTTTTCCGTGATGTTCAGTATTGTTCCGTGTATGTCCAAGGCGTCCGGGGAAGTCTCATCTGGGGAAGCCTCTGAGGAAACCTCATTATTCGTCATTGGTCTTCAAGCTCGTGCTATGCACACCATCGCAGATGCTGCGCACGTCACATATTCACAGAACGCATATGTGTGTATGTTTCGATTATAATGCGTATGTCTATGTAATGTCTGTGTGTGTGTGCATCATCCACTCTACAATTAATTTCCAGGGCGAGAAGCCTCGGTCTCAAACTGATTGTTCACCACAACCGCTGGAGCCATCCTGCTCTCAGTGTCACACATCCGGCACTAGCTACTAGCAACACCAGCTTTTCATGACCATCTCATGCCTTCGTACCCCATGCAGTGCTAAGATGTGCTAAGCAACCAGCCTCAACCTCTTTCCAACCTTCACCATCTTCTGCGGTCTTGTGCCGCATGGATCAAATATGATCAAATACGCAGTGTCACAATGTATGATGTCTTGGAAGTCTCAAGCTGCACCGTCCTCGGCGGTGATGTGGACCTCTGTCTCGACACCAAGGCCAATGCCTCATCGTCTTTGCAGCACAAGCACCGCACCGAGGTGGCAAACTGCGAGCCAAGGACTCTCCTAGCGACTGGCCACAAATACAATTGACATCTATTGACATCGATTGACATCATTGTACAAATATCAACTCTCCCTCATACTGTCACAAAACAAAGGTTACCATCTGTGGGCAAATCTGACTGTCCTGGCATTGGCATTGAGCTCTTCCATGCGTCTCTGAAGATCATCGAATACCTCCACCTTGTCGTCCAGAATCCGGCCCAACCGTTGGATCTTGTTGACCTCAACACCCCAATGGCCCATACCAAAAACATTCAAGTTGCCCTGACAGCTGAAAATAAGCTGAGACTCGTCATCTTCACAGCGGTCCTGTCGAGTCCTGCACTGTGATCGGTTCCGTATCTGCTAGGGAGAGATTCAACAGTAACATTCGTTGGCGTCTTCCCCTGCAGGTTTCAGTCTTGGACAGTTTGAACTTCGGAAGACGTAGGCGTAGGCCAACGGATTTTTATAATATACATATATATATATGTAATATAATATAATAATAAATATATATATATAAACAATATAATATAGTATAATATAATATAATCCCTTCCTCCTATTACTAAACCCCGCCCAAATACTAAAAACTAGTGTCCATCTCCAATTTTTGAAAATTTCAGATTGGCCAATTTGACTTTTAATTGATCCCCTTTAGAAAACAAATCAAAAATCAACCTACCATTTATGGGTTTCCCTTCTTAATACTAAAAACTAGTCAACCCCGGGGTGTTTATTATTAAGCTCCGTCCGATTTTTTTGCGTTTTTTATATTAAGGTTTTTAATTTAGTATTAGGGGGAAGCTTCGAAATCCTATTTTTGGCAATATTTTAATTGCGTTACATAAAGAAATTTAATTGATTTTGAGATCGGAAAAAATAGTTTTTATTATTAAGGGTTTTAATTTAATATTAGGGGGGATCTTCGAAATCCAATTTTTGGCAATATTTTAATCGCGTTATATAAAGAACATTATATAATTGATTTTGAGATCGGAAAAAATAGTTTTTATTATTAAGGTTTTTAATTTAGTATTAGGGGGAAGTTTCGAAATCCTATTTTTGGCAATATTTTAATTGCGTTACATAAAGAAATTTAATTGATTTTTATATAGATCGGAACAAATATTTTTTCTTATTAAGGATTTTAATTTAATACTAGGGGGAATCTTCGAAATCCAATTTTAGGCAATATTTGAATCGCGTTGTATAAAGAAATTTAATTGATTTTGAGATCGGAAAAACTAGTTTTTATTATTAAGGGTAATTGAATATTCGGGGAAGCTTCGAAATCTAATTTTGGCAATATTTTAATCGCGTTATATAAAGACATTTAATTGATTTTGAGATCGGAAAAAAATAGTCAGTTTTTATTTTTAAGGTTTTTAATTTAGTATTAGGGGGAAGCTTCGAAATCCAATTTTGGCAATATTTTAATCGCGTTATATAAAGAACATTATATAATTGATTTTGAGATTGGAAAAATAGTTTTTATTATTAAGGGTTTAATTTTATTAATAGGGTTCCCTAATATTAAATACCCCCCTAATACTAAAAACTACCTGCCGTGTTTAGTAATAGGGGGGGCGGCGTTTAGTATTTGGAGGAAGGGATTTATATATGTATAACACAATATGAATAATACAATATACAGTAGATCAATTTAAAACGCTTTTAAAACCAGATATGGCTCCCAGGCTCCCAGGTCCTCAAGTCTTCAACATCCCTGTGGAAATCTCTGACTTCAGCTGGTAGTGGCAGAAACTCTTCCAGCAAAGGACGGGCCCAGGAGCTGAAGTGTCCATAGTCTCCTCGCTTGGACATCGCTTGGCCCGCGGAGCATGCCGATTTGATCAAGATACGTTGAGATACGCTGAGATACGTTGAGATAAATAGTATTGGTACATATTGGTGCCATGGCCGCGACCTCTCAAACCTAAACGTTTGATCATGTCGATCATGTTTTTCTCGTCCGATCTTTCCTCATATATCCTGGAACAGTTTGACATGTTTTGCCAAGCATCGTCTCAAGTCATCCACCTGATAGGAGATGCTCATCGACTCCAAACGTGCACTCTCTTTCGCACCAGCGTCCAGCTTCTTCAGCTCCTCCTCCACCCGAGCCTGACATACATTGTGGGCTGCCATAGGCCATAGGCTCACACGGATTCATGGCTCTGCATGCTTCAACATGTAAAACAGAATACTTAAAACAAGATGTAACCTAGATGTCAGAAATTAATTCACGATCAAAGGGAACATCTTGAGATCATCATGCTGCTAGTCATGGCAAAGTAAACATGTCAAATCACTACTTTTGGAGAGTCTCTAAATGACTGCTTTCTGCGCCAACTCAGCTCAACACCAAGTTGGAGTGCAGGGTCTCATGCAACTCTTCCACGTGGTCAGAGGTCTTGTCTTCGCATTTGGAAAGGTCAAGGAGCTCTTGTCGCAAGGGTGGCAATTCCTGCGCTTGGAAAGTTTCACGAGTTGAAGCCTATGTGATGATACTTCCAACCTGCTTCGACGGGCTTCAAGTAGGCAACAAGGCGGATATATCTTAAGAAACATTGACATGAATCATGACCCTTAAGGCATCTGAAAGCGAAGGAATAGCGCAGGAGCAAGGCAGAGTACCATGTTCTCAGTGCATGTCAGTGACGAGCAGGGGGCTTTGCTAATTAGTCTTTGCTGCTGCGGAGCGATTGCCAAACACTGTCAGGCAGAAGGGTTGTCATGCTTGCAATGTTGTATAATGTTGTATTGTTGTATGATGTTGTGTAAATGGTCTGCCCGCTGCAAGATATCAGGGCCTCAGCCAAACCGTGTTTCTCAACCAAGTGGTTCAGGAATTTGATCTCGCTGGTCTGTCGGATGGTTCTCTGCTCCACCTCGGCATCACTACGCAAATGACATGCTGACAACATGCTGACAGCTGAAAAAGTTGGTTAGTGGATGTTAGTGGTCAGTCCTTCAATTACTGCTGACATCTGCTGACCACTCCTGAGGCAAAGAAGATTCCTTTTCCTGGTCGGAGTTCATCTCATCTGCTATCTCTGAAAGACAAAAGGCATATCATACGTCATAATTATAGGATCTTCTTTTTGGACAGTCATCAAATCATCCACATACAGTGCATCTGTGCACTTCCCAATCACTGTCCATTTCCCTAGACAAAGCATTTCACCAGTTTTCCAATTTTGACTAGGAGCAACGGCATGTTCTGAGTTTTTATTTTTTCACCGAGTTGGTGATGAAAAACCAATGAATGAATTTCTACTGTTTCAGGTCACCAATGTTTAATTTATACCCTCCCAAGGCTCCCACCCGAGGAGCTGGCTGTTGCATATGGATATTCATTTCATAGTGCGGCGCATGGAGATAAAATTGAGGGATCTACCCTACAAACTGACAAAGAACCCTTACTGTAGTCGGATGTACAGCAGCATGAAACGTGCCGGTCAGGGGTCACACAAAATCCTAGATCCGGGTAGAGATTGGCTTGGCATTCGCGGTTCCGAGCTGAGCGTGCTGAAAATTCATGAATATTTGTTGAATACATCAGCCATCATGATTTTGTGATGATGACGATGACGATGACGATGACGATGACAATGACGATGGCGATGGCGATGACGATTTCGATGACGATGACGATAACGATGATGACGATGATGACGATGATGATGATGATGGTGGTCGTGGTGGTGGTGGTGCTGGTTCTGGTTCTGGTTATGGTGATGACGATGACGACGACGATATGACGATATGACGATATGACGATATGACGATATGACGATATGACGATATGACGATATGACGATATGACGATATGACGATATGACGATGATGAGGACGACGTTGGATTTAGATGGGTTTTAGCGGACACTCTGCAGCCACTCCATCACTCCAGTATTGCAAGAGGCCCCCCCTTCCAGAATATCGCGTCCCAGCACCTGCCACACCCCATGAGTGGAAGCCGAATGGCCACACGTAGCTTGGCATTGGCTACTTCAAGCGATTGCTTCTGCTTGGTGATTTGGCCTTCAGCCACCTGACAGATAGACAGAAAGCTTCCTGAAACCCAAATGCAGCAGCTCTGGAAACATTGTGTGTTGGGTATGCCCCCTGAACCCACTTGTTTGCCACTGCTGCCTCCTGGCACGTGCAAACACAAAATGACACAAACCACAAGACTCACCAAAGCTACCATGGATTTTGGACCAACAATCCAATCTTGTATGAGTAGCTTGTTCATGTTTTCGCGGCACATTGTATCGCGGAGGTGGATCCTACAGTCATGTATCACTAATTAGTCACTAGTCCCAAAGCCTTTCCGGAAGAACGATTTGTTGAGGCAATCAACCCTAGCTTCCAATTTGAGCAAAGGATATCACTGTGCTATGGGGCGCGCCTCAAGATTGTGCTCCAGACTTCTCCGCATGTCTCGCATTTGCGCCATCAACGACCTTATTCATCAAAAGGTGCTTGGACATCTCTCCCAACAACCCAAAGCGGGGACATACTGTAATTAGGGTATTGTTATGTGTTGTTTCTGAAACCCAAGGCTTCCGCCGCAAATGTTCAGCGCAGGTAATGCCATGTACAGTAATGAGAACATGTAGGGAAACACTGTGAAGGCTTAAGATGGCTTAAGCACCGAATCAATCATCTTTTCTCCCGTCACTGTTTCCGGTCAAGCCCTCAGTCCTTTGCCTGCCACGCATTAATAGCACTGGCATTAATAGCACTGGCACATCTACTTAATATTCCGCGCGCGAGGCGCAAAGATACTAATATAGTCTACAGTCTACAGAGTCATGTTGGCATTACAGAGCAACTGCTGTGAGTCAGCTGTGCGCCAAATCGAGAAGCACATTCACTCGTCAAACAGACCATCTGTCAATGTGCCAATGTCCTCCTCTCCCAGGCCGGTGCCCATCAGGGATGGATCTTGCTGCACACTACTCAGCAATTCTGAGAGGGCATCCTTCCTGGGATTCCTGGGTGCGCTTGCACAAGGCCAGGTTCGGAACCAGCATGGACCAGCTGCCAAAGCTCTAATATAATGTCCTATGATGTTCTAAAATATGCAATCGTTTCCTGTTTCCATCATCTATTTCAAGATAGAATCGCAGAACGCAAATGATATATCATATATATATATTAATACATCATCTAAATCACATGTCGTTTTCCTCTGCTCTGTGAGTACGGAGTGTTTTTGCATGTTTTCGCATTCCTGACTTTTCGACCAGGCAACGCAAGCGGAAAAGACATAGGCCAGAGTGTCGCAAATAGAGTGTCCAAGGCTGGAAAAGGGGGTGTCAAGATATGTCTGAATAAGTAGCAACAATGGACCGATGTGAGCCAATGTGAGCAAGGGTAGTACTGCGCATATCGGATCTGAATGAGTTTGGCTTGACTCCTGTCAACTCATCTTCTGAGATTCTTGGTTTTTGAAAGCGATTAGCTATGGGTCTGAAGGAAAATACGTTTCTAGAACCTGCCCTTGCGGTCCTAGGTGACGTTGGCAACTCTGGAAGGTCTGGCAACTCAGCAGGGGGAGGTGCTGCTTTGATTCCTGGCACAACGCATATGCCAAGAATGTAGGACCCCTATATTGCCCTATAGTCAATTTCTACCAGATAGAATATTTTAGTTCAAAAAAATATTTTTTTTTGCTTGAACTAAACGCATTTCTAGCAGATAGAATGCTTTCACAGATAGAATATTCAAAAGACCCCGGAGAAAATCATCCAAAAACTTGCATTTTACCAGGTGATTTGAACTAAATCACATCCAAAAGTCAATTTCTACCAGATAGAATATTCAAAATTTTGAACTAAACACCAAATCCTCACAGATAGAATTCTGTCATACCTTTAAAGACAGATAGAATATTCCACGGACCCGGTAAAACAACCAGCCGTACCTATGTAAAGTGCTTCAAAAAAGTGGGTATAGATAGCCATAAATAGCCACAATGCCTATGTAAAGTGCTTCCACTGAGGGTACAAATATGTCATGAATATTGCACCATACCTATGTAAAGTGAGGTTGACAATGTAGCAACTGTAACATCAGCCAAAGGATGATTGCTTTCAGTTCCTTTCATTGTCCTTGTGTTTTCCTTTCATGTTCCCAGCCTATGGTTCCAAATGTTTTTCTATTTCCTTGTATCTATGCTCCTTTCATTTACCTTTCACTTCCTTTCATGTTCATTTCATGTGCCTTTGATTTTTATGTCCTGTCATTAAAAAAACAAAACGTTTCCGTCAACCATATCTTTGTTTTACGGTCCTTCTGATGTTCCTCTGATTTCTCTTTTTCCGTTCGTCTCCTTTTCTTTCTGATCTTCCTTTCATGTCCCTTTCATTTTACTCTCTTGTCACTTCAGTTTCCTTCCCTTTTTCCTTCAAGTCATTCCATTTTTCTTGTATGTCCTGTCATTTTCAAAATCATATCGAATTTCCGTGCATATTTGTTTCAAATTATGTTCATGGTCCTTGGTTCTTTTCATGATCTTCCTTGCTCGTTTATGCATCGGGGTGCCAATTCATTATGTGATAATGTGCAGCAGTTTTAAAGCGGTCTAGCTTTTGTGCATAGGGCCTCATGCTTTAAAATGCACAAAAACAATGAGAACTGGTTCTGCTATATAATGCGGTTCCAGCAAATTCACGCCGAATTGGCATCCAAGTTCATCCAAATTCGAAGACCTTCAGAAATGCCTCTTTAAAAAGGGGTCAGGAAATTCTTTTTAGATAGAGGTATTTTAGAGTCAAGGTGCTCAAATATTTACTGGTTTTCTTCTGTTTATAGCATTCTGTAGCAACAAAATACGGTGGCATTCTTTCGTAGCAATTCCTTAAAATTCCTTAAAAATCCTTTGAATTCCTTAAAATTCCAAAAAAACTCATGAAAATTCATGAAATAACATCATTTAAAATTATTAAAATCCATAAACATATTTCAAATTCCGTCAGATTCCTTTAAGATTCTTGAAATTTCCTTAAACTTCCTTGAAATTCCTCTAAGATTCTTGAAAATTCCTTTAAGCTTCCTGAATATTCCTTTAAGATTCCTTTAAATTCAAAAAAATACCTTAAAATTCCTTTAACATCCTTTAGAATCATTCGAAATCCTTGACAATCTTTCAAATTCCTTCAAATTCCGTCAAATTCCTTTAAAATTCTTTCAGCTTCCTTTAAGCTTCCTTCAAAGTCCTTAAAACTCCCTAAATTCCTTGAATTTCCTTATAATTCCTTTCAAATTCCTTTAAATTTCCTGAACATTCCTTAAAATTCCTTAGGATTCCTTCAAATTCCTTTAAGATTCCTTAAGATTCCTTTATATTCCTTTAAGATTCCTTAAAATTCCTTTGGCAACCTTTAGAATCATCCGAAATCCTTGAAAATCTTTCAAATTCCTTCAAATTCCTTTAAAATTCCTTCAATTTCCTTTAAGCTTCCTTCAAAGTCCTTAAAACTCCCTAAATTCCTTGAAATTCCTTATAATTCCTTTTAATTTCCTTTAAATTTCCTGAACATTCCTTAAAATTCCTTAGGATTCCTTCAAATTCCTTAAAATTCGCAGATCTAAAATGACATGCCCAATAAAATTGATATAAAGAGATCCTCGAAAAGCACTGGTTCCATTCTGGAATAAAATGCTCCAAACACTCAATTTGTTGCAATAAAAATAGAATGGAATTTTAACATGTTAAAAATCATCAGGATTTCCCTGGCCAATAAAATGCTCAGACCAACCCCTTAACAATAAAATGACAAACCTGACTCCAATGTTGAAATTCCAATACATTACGGATCTCGCTTAGACTATGCACAAGTCATCCATTTCCAGTGTGGAAATTGCCACGGGGATGCTTATGCTTCTTTTCAATTCTTTATTTCTTCCGATGTTCTGCTATCTTCCTTTCATTTTACGTTACTTTATGTGTGTTTATTTCATGTCCTTCCACTTTCCTTTCATGCGCGTTACTTCCATGTCCTTCCATTATCTGTTCATATCCTTTCATTGTCCCTGCATGCCATGTCCAAATCCTCACAGATAGAATATTCGGAATGCATGACCTTGGTCACCCTGGTGGTCACAATTTATATGTGTGAATATTGGGGAAAAAAAACAAATATACACTCATACAAAAGCATTTTCTTTCGTGTTCACATTCCTTTCATGCCTTTCATTCTCCTGTCAGTTTCCTGTCAGTTTCCTTTCACTTCCTTCCATGTTCCTTCTATTTCCGTCAATCATATCTTTGTTTTACGTTCACCTTATTTAATTTCCCTCCTTTCCTTTTGTTCTTTCATGTCCTTCTGATGTTCCTCTGGTTTCCCTTTCCGTTCGTCTCATTTTCCTTCTCATCTTCCTTTCATGTCCCTTTCATTTTACTCTCTTGTCACTTCAGTTTCCTTCCCTTTTTCCTTCAAGTCATTCCATTTTTCTTGTATGTCCTGTCATTTTTCAAAATCATATCGAATTTCCGTGCATATTTGTTTCAAATTATGTTCATGGTCCTTGGTTCTTTTCATGATCTTCCTTGCTCGTTTATGCATCGGGGTGCCAATTCATTATGTGATAATGTGCAGCAGTTTTAAAGCGGTCTAGCTTTTGTGCATAGGGCCTCATGCTTTAAAATGCACAAAAACAATGAGAACTGGTTCTGCTATAAAATGCGGTTCCAGCAAATTCACGCCGAATTGGCATCCAAGTTCATCCAAATTCGAAGACCTTCAGAAATGCCTCTTTAAAAAGGGGTCAGGAAGTTCTTTTTAGATAGAGGTATTTTAGAGTCAAGGTGCTCAAATATTTACTGGTTTTCTTCTGTTTATAGCATTCTGTAGCAACAAAATACGGTGGCATTCTTTCGTAGCAATTCCTTAAAATTCCTTAAAAATCCTTTAAATTCCTTAAATTTCCAAAAAACTCATGAAATTTCCAGAAAAATCATTTAAAATCATTAAAATCCGTAAAAATATTTCAAATTCCGTCAGATTCCTTTAAGATTCTTGAAATTTCCTTAAACTTCCTTGAAATTCCTCTAAGATTCTTGAAAATTCCTTAAATTTCCCCGAAATTCCTTTAAGATTCCTTTAAATTCCTTTAAGATTCCTTAAGATGCCTTTATATTCCTTAAAATTCCTTTGACAACCTTTAGAATCATCCGAAATCCTTGAAAATCTGTCAAATTCCTTCAAATTCCTTTAAAATTCCTTCAACTTCCTTTAAGCTTCCTTCAAAGTCCTTAAAACTCCCTAAATTCCTTGAATTTCCTTTTATATCATTCCTTTCAAATTCCTTTAAATTTCCTTAACATTCCTTAAAATTCCTTAGGATTCCTTCAAATTCCTTAAAATTCGCAGATCTAAAATGACATGCCCAATAAAATTGATATAAAGAGATCCTCGAAAAGCACTGGTTCCATTCTGCAATAAAGTGCTCCAAA